ACCTCTCGCCCCCCTCCTCCTTCCCGCCCGTTTTTTTGCTGTCTTAATTGTTGCTTCCTCAGCTCAGAATAAATTTAGCTTTTAGATGAAAAAATTTGATTCTCATATTTGTTTATCGCAAAATTTTATGTGCACTTTTTTTTGGAGTCTTTCGAAATTTCTGGAAAGAAGGATGGGTGGGCTGTTGAGGCAAGGGCAATCAGGTACTTCTTATGCTGACGTGGACATCTTTTATGCTGACGTGGACTTCTCACATTGGGTCAATATTTGTGTGTAGAGATGGGTATTTCTAATGGCTTTGTGAGTCCTTTTTTGCCTTGCTTCCCCTTCTTCCTCACTTCGCCCTCCCCACCTCCCTCCTTCCGTTCCTCATTTCGCCTCATCCTCCTCCTCTTGTGCGTCTTAGACCTTCCAAGCAACAACTATAAGAACTTAGTTTGGTTCGGCTTGCCGCGCAATATGCACTCTTTTTTTAAAGCGTTTTGTGCTGTGTAACAGCAGTACAAAACGCATATTTTCACGGGGTTGTCTGTGTGTATGTGTGTGTGTGTGTATGTGTGTGTGTGTGTGTTTGTGTGTGCGTATGTGTGTGTGTGTCCGCAGCAACTTGTCTGCAACTTTCAACTCGGAGACCACAAAATTTAGGAAGCTGAAAATTTAGGGGAATGTTTTCCCACCTACGTATGACTCCGCAAATTTAAATGCTGCCTTCCCCTGCCCGCGGGTAACACATACGGCCCCATAAATGTTTTGGCGGTGGAAATTATTATCTCGGGAACCACGAAAGCTAGGAAGCTGAAATTTTATGGGTATGCCCATCGCCCACGTGCGGTCCAGAAAATTTAAATTCAGCTTTCCTCTGGCCGCCGGTAACATGTATGGCCCCGTGAAACTTTTGGCGAGTAAACTATTATCTCGGGAACTGCGGAATCTAGGAAGCTGAAATTTTGGGATACTGTTCCCTGCCTGCGTGCAACCCCTCAAATTTAATTTCAAAGCAGTGAAAATCATTGGCAGACAATCGTTCGGTGGACAGAATTGCACAAAACGCATAATTGCATCAGCTGTTTTGGTTTGCGCCGCTATTTGAGTTTTTTTTTTTGGGTTAAAAGCTTCGAACTGTGAGAGCCGTAACACAGGGTTTCTTGTCTGGGTGGAGTTCCAGGTGTCTTATTCAAAATTACTAGCTTCCTTTCCGCATCAGTTTTCATGTCGGGCATAAATATTTGGCCGACGCACGGGCTGTCCGTGCGAAGATGCGTTTTTTGCGTCCGCAGTTTTTGTCACTACCGGCACCGGTTTTCCCGGCAGATGCTTCTAGCTAAACAAATTAAGACTGGCCGCCAGAACTGTAATGAAACATCCCCTAAAAATTTCAGCTTTCTAACTTCTCAGGTTCTCAAGTTGGCGACTTGCTCGTAAAAAACTTTGGCGTCCCCGTACGTGCGCACCACGAGGGTAAGAGCACCCATTTTGGGAACGGGGGGCCCTACATGCATGTAGATTAAGTCCGCAAAATCTCAGCTCCTTAGCTTTTGTAGGTCTCGAGATGAAAAATCGATACAGAGGCCCAGCGCAGACACACACACACACACACACACACAGACAACCCCTCGTCAGTATGCGTTTTCTGCACTGCTTAGCTGCAAAAAAAGCATAAAAACGCGCAAGAGCACCTTCCTCTTTTCATTTCTTATCCCCGAGCAAGTCTCAGCTCTTTTGCAGGTACCATTGAAAGGCCGAATCGTAGAGGGATTAGTTGCCCCACGAGTTGGGGCAAACTTACCCACAAACTTACCCAGTCATTCCGTATTGTAAAAATCGGGAAAATGTACTGA